TCGAGTCGAGTTAAATATTTAACTTGACTTGAATTTGACTTGACTCGCAAATCATCGAGTCAAAAAAATATAAACTCGACTCAGCTTATCTGACTCGTGAGTTGACTCGACTCGTCTAGAACTCTAAATATATTAACTTATATAATTAAAACTAATAGTGACTATACAAAATAATAATTGTAAAAATAATAGAATAATTTTTTTAATATTATTTCATCATATCATTATTGCATCTTTTTAATTATAAAATATATATATATAGATTAATAAATTAGCAAAATATATTTTTAAGATATCTTGTCAAAAAATTTTTTTTAATAAATATAAACTAAATATATTTAATTATATAAAAATTTAATTTTTAAATTATGCAAGTATAATATATTATTGATTAATTTTATTGAATTTTTTATTACTAAAAAAATTAATTAATTTAAAATTAGATTATTAATATTAAGAAAACAATTAAAATGATCATTACAATCATTATAAATATTAATTAATACTTAACATTAGTAAACTTATAAATAATAAATATATTTTAAGTATCTTAATTTTTATTTTCTAATTTTTATTTATTCAACCAGAAATTTTATATATTAATTATTAAGATTTTTATACAATTAATTATATATATATATTTATATTTCATTTTAAATTTTTATAACTTTTTTCTAATAATATTGTTACATTAGTTCTTTTAGATCACAAGTAAATCACATATAATATCAAGTTTTAGCAAAAGATTTTCTTCATATAGAAAAGTAAAATAAAGATAAAAAATAAAAGAAATAAAGATAAATATGACAAATTAAGAAAAGTGTATACAATTAATTAATTAACAAATAAAAACTAGTACTACTTCTGTTAATATATTTGTATTAAACAATTTATTTTTTAAAAAATTACTATAAGACAAATTCACTTTTTTCTATTTCTCTTTCTTATAAATTACTCTTATTTATATAAAAATATATTCTAATAATAATAATAAATATAACAAATAAAATAATAAATAAAATAAAATGATTTAAATAAAAAAATGAATTAAATGGATTAAATGATAATTAGATTATCAAATTTGAAAAATAAAAAATGCAAATTATTTATCTATATAATTAAGTAATACAAATATAAATTCTTTTATTATTCTAAAGTTAATACTGTAATTAGTTACAACTGGTAATAAATAAGCATCATAAGATTATAACTAATTGTAACATTAATAAAAATTAAGTTGTAACTAGTTATAACTGATGATAAATAAGTATTATATGGTTGCAACTAGTTGCAGCATTATCTTTAATTTTTACATAAAATTGATCAGTAAATAATTTGAACTTGTGAAGAAGAACCATTAACTTTGTAGATCATTTTGATTATATATTATAACTTTGATTTCATTTTTAGCTAGTATAAAAATTTATACTTTTTATATATTATGATATATTTTATATATATTCTTAAACTAATTTATTTTAAAATTTTAAATTATTTTATTTTGTAAAATTTTTCTAGATTAATTTTAGAAATCATAAAAATTTTATTTTTTTAATAAAATATTCTTATTTAATTATAAGTCTATAAATATATAATATCCTAAAATAATTTGTCAACAAATATTTAAATATCTTTAAATAAATATTCTTGAAGTATTAATAATAAAGATTTAGATAAAAATATAGTTATTAAAATCTAAATATCAAAATATTTATTTTTTAAAATATTAAAATATTGAAATTCTTTTCCTATCTCATTTTGAATAAAAATTCATTTTTTTAAAATTAATAATGCTATTTTAAATATCAGATAAATTTTAAAAATAAAGTTTTAAATAGAATTCAAAATTATAATATAATTATCCATTTCTATTATTATAATAAATAGTATAATTTAAATTATTTTAGTAGATTTTTTATTACTTTTTTAATATCATCTATTATATTAATACTTATTTTTTAAAAAAGAGTTTTAATATTACTAAAGTATCCATCTGGTAAAAATTTTATATGTTCTGAACTATAAAACTAATTTTAATAGTTTTATACATTCCTATTATTATTAATCAAAACCAAAAAAATAAAAAGAAATTATTTTTATATAATTATTATAAATTACTTTTAAATGCTATTCTTTTTGATAAAATTTGTTTAATATATTATATATAAGATTAATAGTTCTTTTTTTATAGAATAATTTAAAAATTTATTTTTACTAATTAAATAATTTAATTGTATTTTCTTTTATATTGCATATTTTAAAAATATATACTGCAAATACTATTTTAAAATAAATTTGTTTAACTTACTATAATTAAAAAGAAATAAAAACATTTTGTATCTAATTATAACAAATATAAATTATTTTATTTAGATATATTGCTAGTTATAATATTATTTTTATAATATTGATACACTTTCTACTTTATCTTAATGATTTTTTAAATCTAATGCTATTCTATTTTTTTTTATTAATGTTTTTACATATTCTTTCATATTGAATATTTTTTTGATATTTTACATATATCATATAAATCTAAGTGTCATGAATTTAATATGTAATATGAGATTTTTTCAAAGTTAATCAAAAATTTTGTATGATATAATTAAAGCATCATTATCTAATTTTTTACTAATTGTAACAAAATCTTTATATATACTAATATAGTTTTTTTTAGTTAGTAATAAAATAACTGTTAAAGAATCAGTTTGCATATAATGGCTCAGTGAAGAAAATCTATGAAAATTTACATAATTAATAACTTTAGTTGATTGTAATTTGTAATGCTACTTTAGAAAGATTTATATTTCCATATATTCTTTCTATTAATCCTTCAGTTAATAAATTATTTCTAATTGCTTTTAAAATACTATCTGCAATTTCAATAAGAATAAGAAAAGTATCTTTATATAAAGAAATTTCAGAATTAAAGTGATAATCAAAAAATTTTTTATTAGAAAAAACTAATAATTGGTCCATTAAAACAAAATCCAATTGTGTTTTCCAAACTTTGAAATGTTAAATGCCTTTTAAGAAAAGCTTCAATCCAACTTTTTCAAAACATTTTTTTTTTTTGTTTTGTCAAGTACGAGTAGCGGAAGAGAAAAATTGTTATAAATTATTAATAGCCTTTCGCATAAATTTATTATCTTCAAACTGTTCTAAAAAGTATTTCGATATAATTATCATTATGTTGGACAAAAATTTATTATGTATGACAAACATTGATCGACAAACTGCATATTATACTAAAAATAAACTTAAATTTAGAGGTTAATAAATAATGTAGTGTCGGTGAATTATGATTTGTCAATACTTTTTTGACCGCCAATGAATATAATTTTACGAGAAAAAATGCTTTCGAAAAAATCATATGTACTACTCGATTAGAAGTAATAAAAAGGGAATTGATAAAAAACATTAAAAATATTCTTTCGTAAAAAAAAAAAAATTAATTACAATTATAAAGGGTTTGAATAGATAGAAAAATACAATTAAAATGTGAAATTATAAGCCATTTAGTGGAAATACCTAATTTAATGCCAAACTAGATCAAAAAAAAAAAAAATCATTGTACATACATTAATTAATTAAAATAAATATAAATTAAGTAGGATAAGAATTTTAACCATTTGTAAGGAGAGAATAGTTTGATTAATTTAAAATTATAATACAACGAATTATTGTAAAAATATTAAATTATATGATATAAATAAAAGAAAGTAATTAAGGAATATATATAAGAACCATTAAAGGAGAAAAGTTGGAAGATGAAACGAAAGGGAGGCGGGTGGATGTTAACTTGTTATTTCGGTCCAATCAAATTCTTCTATATCACTTTCAGCATTAACTTTCCAGTCGTTATCATCAATGAATAATTTAGCATTAACATTGCTTTTAAAATCCTTAAAAATAAAAAATTTAATTAAAATCTAAAATTTTTATTTTTTTTTTTTATTTTATGGTCCTGAAACTCAAAAACTTACCGAAATTTTATTCAATGATAATTTAATATCATTTATATCATTTCTAATAAACGAATTGGAAATAGCGACATAAGTAATAAATATTAATACAATGAAGAATCCATAAATCGCGAAATATTTAATCGTTGATTTTTGTTGTGAAAAAGTATGCTTAGAAGCTGGTTCTGATATTTTAGAGTATAACGGTAACGGTAATGTATAATTTAATGATTGTTCCATCATGATTATTATATATATTCCTAATAGAAAGTGGTTTCTTTTTTGGCACATGAATAAAAGTAAGAATAATAAAATGGGATTTTGTGAACATTTTCGTTCCTTTTATAGAATTATGTCTTTTTTTTTCTTGGCAAGCCAGTACTTAAACGGGTGTTACTAATTATACACGGGTTTATATTGATTAATAACAAATAAGTGGGCTTGCATTATTTATAAATTGTGGATTACACAGATAAATAAATATTCATCAAAAAAAAAGAGAAAGAAAATCAATGTATTTGAAATTTATTATTTAAATTCCTCCTTATTTTAATAGTTGACTTGAATAAGAGAATTAGTTGATCTGATTAATGTCGTAAATCGATCGGATGATCGACGATTAGACGACGCAACTGGAAAGAAATTCGAGAATTCCTTTGCTAAACAAAATTGATCCGATTTACGACTCGTTATTTAGGTTAAGTTACAAAATAAATTTGTGTGATAGCTGATCCAATAAGAAAGGAATGCCAAGAAAATTATCATAAATTTTGTCATGTCATGTGATATTTATTATAAGAGAGTAACTGCGCCCAAGAAAAAATTATATATTAATGCGATTTACGGACTAGTCTGTTTAAAGTCTCCAGGTCATTTTTATAAGAATCATGCGGTCAAATCATTACAAGTTCCGTTATTAATAGAGCACGTAGACGGATGTTGACCGTTATGGCATTCTTTGTAAGATATAGATAATTAGCGGGACTTTCGGGTTATTCTCGAAAAATATTTCTTTTAAAATCCTCTTTTTAATTTAAACAGGAACGATTTTAAAAAATAAATATTCGATCAGCACTTATCTTCCTGTGTTTGATACCTTCTTTCCCTTATAAATAATATAATAATATTTCCTTTGGACATCAAAGCATCATCGCCAACGTAAAGCTATGTTGGAATGTCACGAAAGCTTGCGAGGCCCATTTCATTCCAATCAAATATTCAATTAATTGGATAAATAATCTTAATATGGTTTGCCTATTTAAGTCCATTGTTTTTTTTTTTTTTTTTTTTTTTTTTTTTTTTTTTTTTTTTTAAAAAAATTTTTTTTTTTTTTTTTTACAAAAAAAATATTAAAATTACAAACTTATACCTTAAATTATTGTATCTTAATTCTAGTGCATACAGAAAAAAAAAATAAAACATATTTTAATAACTTTAATGACTTCAATTTCTCATTTTTTTTTAAAAAAAAAACCTACACATTCAGATTATATGCCGCCACTTTTTTGTTTGTTCCTAATAATTCCGGTTGATGTAATTTTGACAATATATACTTTTTTCTTTTTTTTTTTTTTTTACAAGTTTATTAATTCTTTTTGTTTCCCCCATGAAATACAGCCCTAATTTTTTTTATTTTTTATTTTTGCTTTTTTTTATTTATTTATTTTTTTTTTTTTAAAAATGTCCCAATGTCAATTCTATTTAGCGGAGAAAAAGAAGTTTAAATAGCACTCTTTAAACATTCTAATTCCTGACATTTCTCAAATATTAATTTAATATTTAACCACAATATCATCTAAGGACAAGAATTTTAAACATGTATCTTCGTTGATTGGCAAACTATCAAAATCCATGTGAAGACCACTAGTTCCAAGATTAACATATTTCAAAGTACCTTTTCTTATGGCAAACCTCTTAATTGAATCAATGTGACCTTCGGTTAAAAATAAACGAGGGTAAGAATTTACCACAAGCTTTTTCAGAGGGGCTTGACAATCCATCAAAAAAGTGTCCAATTGATTAGATGTTAAAGGCATTGATAATTCCAAGTAATGTAGAGAAGGAGGAACCACTTTACCCATTTCATTTAGAATTATATCTGTGTCCTCAACAGAATTTGATTTTATAACTAAATATTCCAATTGACAACCACTTACTAACAACATTAAATGTGAGATGAACAGTGAAACTATTGAAATATTTAGGTAAGTGATGTATGGACAATATTTCGGTAGAGCTTCTACCAGAGAATTTTTAATTGGATTTATGATTAAATGTTCTAAACTCCAACCGACTCTTTCTAAAAGTGGTAACACGGATTCATAATCGCTAATGTCAATTAATTCTAAAGTTCTAATTTTACATTTCGCTTTAATTAACGGACGAAAAGTTTCAAGATCACAATCTTTACCACCTCTAAATCGAATTGTCTCTAATTTTGTACAATGTTCAAGACCTTCTAAAGATACTTTACTAAAATCTATACATTCGAATTCCAACGAAGTTAAGGTATCAGACTTTTTTGCCAACATGGCAACCGCGGATGTCACTTTACTTCCAAAAGATCTAAATATCACATTGGATAATTCGTTTTGTGATTCAATTAGGTTTACTAAAGTTTGACCAACTGTCCAGTGCATGTCATTCGCATCAACATCCAAGATTCTAATCCTTTTACAAATATTTGGCAATTCATTCCAAAGTTCACTTAAATTAAATAATACTTCAGATGAGGAGAAATTACTAAATATGCAAACCAACTTTCTTATATTTGAAATGAAATTTAAATTTTGTTTAATTAAAGAAATTTCCACAGCTATATCCATTGATCCAGCAGATACATCCAATGTGAGACTATCCAATTTTGCTCCACTTTCAATAAATAATTTATATAAAGCCCTTAACATCATTTTAGTCATATTCTCCTTGTCTTTTGACGTTGTTGCGGAACTTATCCATAAGGATACATATATTCCTAATAATCTCGTATTTAAACTTTTTAAAAATGACGCATAATTAAAAAGTGGTCGATTCGTCGTCACTAATCTCTGAGGTAGAATATTCGAAAGTGAGATTTTATCTTGATCGTATTTAAGACATCTAAAATATGTTTGCAATAAAGAGAGAATCGAATTTTCCGATAATTTGGATGTAAAAGGTTCAAACCATAGTCGAGGGACCGATGTTATACACCAATGTCGATTAACCAAAACGCACGAATGTAATGATGGGATATCATTTTCTAGATGTTTTAATATTTGCATCATAGATTCTAATGGTAATGATGGAGAATTCATCATTCCTAAAAACTTGAAAAGAAAAAAAAAATTTTTTTTCTCTTTTTTCTTAAAAAAAAAAAAATAGAAAATTATTTTTTTTTTTTTTCTGAATGTAATGGGAAAAAAAAGATGTTGCATTTGAACACTATTTCTTTTTTATTTGTTATGTAACCAAAAATAAACTGTTGTAATACATTTAGTACTTCCAATCGGTAACTACAATAGTAAAAAAAGTTCAAAGATCATTCGGTCATTTGATCATAACAATGAAACCTTAAACATCTAAATTCATCATTCTATCATAAGAACAATGGGTTTCGTTCCCGCAGTTTTATTTTTACTCCACAATTGAATTACCAAAAAACGCCAAATATCCTTATTAGTTTTGCCAAATGCAAAATATCTTTGGTCAATTTATCTTGGTCAAGGCGTTCCCTTATTTTTTAATCGTTACACCTGCGTTACACATGCGTTTCCTTGTGTCACATTCGGAATCATGAATCTTTGTCACGTGAGATGCGGTATCGCTCCAATCTGCCGCAGCAATTTCTTGTGACACTCGCCTTGACGGTAGATAGCTCGGTTCTTTGACAAGAAGTATTTTTTTTTTATGAACCCACCCTTTCCAGATAATATAACAGCGAACATTCAACAAAGGAAAGTGCACAAACCAAAATAAATACGTTCCATTTATCCTGCTTCTACGTTGTTACTCACAAACACATTTTTAATAAATTTCCTTCTCCGAAACTCTAAATAAAAAAAAATGTTAAAAACTAAAGAATTAACTGCAGAACAACG